GAGAGAATAATACTTTATTGGGCACCAAAACAAGCAGATACATTTATACAACAGGCGGTCATATCGCTCAAAGCGATCTCTTCCAGATATCTGTTTAATTTACAGAAATTCTGTAAAATATAAAAATATAGTAGGTATGTTGCGGTCTACTATGGGCAATATATTATAGAAAATATATACCTACATACATACATAAATAAATAAATATATACATAAAATATCAAATAACTGTTTGATTTATATACCAACTATCTGGCCCGACAAACGTTGTTTTGCCTTAGAAATAATTTCTAGGAAAGATAAATAACCTAGATACCGACTGGAGCGCCATCTGCCGGGCTAGTTTGTAAATCTAAACCATTCTCGAATCCACCTGAAGGTACACAGAAAGTTTCATTAAAATCGGTCCAGCCGTTTAGGAGGAGTTCAGTGACAAAACACACGCACAGAAGAAATATATATATCAAGATATACATACTAACATACTAATATAATTATAATATAATTGTTAGGAGACCTTTGTGGTTAGTGCGAGCTTTTTAATGTTCTCGATAGCGTAAAAGTTAGCTCATAATATCTGTATGGAATGGGATCGTTTGCGCACGTTTGCCGCTAGGGGCGCTGTTCCAACTGCATACAAAATTGGGCTAACTTTTACGCTATCGAGAACGTTAAAAAGCTCGCCCTAAGCACACTTGTGATGGTTTAAGGCGAACGGAGGGCTCGAGACCGCGCGATTAGTTGCAGAGTTAGCCGCGGTCACCCCTCCTGCCTATCCTGGGGTCTATCTCGGGCGGGACCCGGATGGCAAGAGTGCAGAAGGGTATCTTCCTCTCGGCGCCCGTATCCCCTGAGGAATCGCCGGCCATAAACATGAAAGTTTATTTAACGAGATTTATCTACTTCTCTAAATTTTAACCGACATTCCACCCAAGGCTTGATTGGATCATTAGGTATTATTATAAGTAAAACAATTCACAAAGCAAACTTACGAACTTCGAAAGCGACTTAAAAGAAAACTAGTTGATGACCGAGATATGCTCGTTTTTTTTTTTTTCATAACGCCATCTTGTTGTGTCTTTAAAATTAGTTTTAAAAATTAGTTTTCTCAATTAAGAAAAATAGTATTATTATTCGCCAATAGATGTCGGGAAGAGACATAAAATTGATTATCGATAAAGTTGATTATTGAAAACACGAATAAAACAACATTTTCTGAAAATAAATCGTTAGCTAGATCGATTTATCGCCCTCGAAATCCCCTGTATACTAAATTTTATGAAAATCGTTGGAGCCGTTTCCGAGATTCAGATTATATATTTATTAATATACAAGAATTGCTCGTATAAGATACAACGTGCGTCGAAATGCAATCAGGCGTTACAATTGTTTTGTTTTAAATAATTCACCGCTGTTTGTTTTGCGGCCATGGTTCTATTTCAATTAAAAATTAATTAGAAACTAGGAATAATTCTCTTTAATACCTACGCTTTTATTTGCTTCATACGTATGTTAGTATGTATGTAACGGAATCTTTGACCGTGATTTTGACCCTCTTCAAAACGTCGGATTAACTCAAAATTTGGCGTAGGTACTTAACAAGGACCGATGACAATTCCATATTTTAAACAGACCCGTTATTTACTTTCGTCAGTAAAAACAACAAATTCATTTGAGTGCCTTCATTTTTTCACTTAGCAAATTGGAAACTGTTGCATTTGCGTGAATAAATTTATTTTCTATTTTTTAATTGGGTTTTCTGCAAAACCGTGTTTTTTTTAAACTATTATTTATTTTCATTTTTTTTTTACAACGTGTAGAATCACATTAACGGATCAACAGAAAAATACAAAGTGTAACGGTTTTTTTTTTGGAACGAAGTTCCTTATCGCGCGTTGTGAAAGGGGGCTAGACGGAAAAAATTCTTACGAAAAGTTGTCACGACACTTTTTAATCCGTCATTCTGACCAATCAACGTGTAGGCGCTTATCGCGTGACATTGCCCGTATCCGATTGGTCCGCGTAATGAGTACAGTTTCTCGAGATAGCGTTTCAACAATAGTAATTTAGTTCATAGTATTGTTTTTTTCTTCTTCATAATGCCGTAATTTATTATTATAACTTAAAAAAAAAATTACAATTCCTTCACTAATTAATCCGGGTGTCCCTTGACACCTCTGAAGTTTTTTTTTTAAATTCTTTATTAGAGCCATACACCTATTAGGTTAAGTCGGCTTGTAACTGTATTGAATGATTAAAAATGATAATTGGGAGATAAATAAAATACCTATGTGTGTGCTCTTTTGTGTCTGTTCAGTCAAAATAAGTAAATATCGGTCAACGAGCACTACTGCAACCGCACCGACCGACACTTCTCTCGCAGCAACCTTACGCACAACACCTGTGTACCCGTATATTGTCACGGCCGTTATTTCAAATATAATTTGGAAGGAAAAATAAAACATTCATTTCGTTTGTACACCACTGCTTGCCCCTTCTTCCTCGCCAACAATAACAAAGATTTTATTGCTTCAATCAATTACTACATTACAGTTTAATCTTATAAATATATATTTTTTATCACTCATTTAATTTGATCAGGTCACTTTAAAATATTCAAAAGTAGTTTGTGCCGCAAAATCTTTGCCCGCCACACGTTTATTCTGACTAGCGGGGCAGACACTATCCAAAATTTTCCCCACTTGACTCTGCCTCTTAATATATCGTAAAATCTTATACACATCATCAAATTCATTAAATCATTAAAAAATTATAATTAAAAAGGAAAGAGATTCTTGAAGAGTTTGAAAGTACTAATGACAGTTAAGACTTCATTCTTATATTTCAAGGAGGGCAGGGACACCCACGCACTAATGGTTACTCATTCTTATGTTCAAGCTCTGTCTCGACAGACATAGAACCTTTGGGCACAGAATGGTTTTGGTAAAGTCTCACTGTTGAGCTGTCCTGCTCCCGTCTACGAAGAAGAAGCTTATTTGCATCGCCGGCTCCACTCCACAGTGGGTAGGAAACTTCTATCCAAACATTCGATCCCCCTTTGAACAGAAGGTCTAAAGACTCGGAGAAGATGGGAAAGTATATAACGCACTACGTAACTCAGTGCGAATCCGTCACTGGGACCTAAGAATGCCACACATGTCCACCAAGTCTAAATGTAATTTATTAACTAAAAACGCTAATATGATTTGAACGTTTTAAAGGAACATTTTAAATTATAAATCAATACTAATTGTAGACGTGACCTGTGAAAAATGTGAACAAAGTTGCAGGTCGCAGCTAAATGTTGATGGTTTTGCTTCGAATGCATCCAAACAATAAATATCAAGAATTATAAAAACAAAAAAGAAATTGATTACAGCACCTGTTCAAATATTAATAATAATAACTGATGTAAAGCCGCCTTTTGAAATGATAACGGTCGTTGTCATTAAAATTAGAATTATAGATATAGAAAGAAGCCTAAATTAGCAAAGGTCTTCGGGAAAACTAAATGCGTAAAAGGATGCTCGAACCCTTATGAAAAGCACAGCCGTGCTCTTCAAAAGAGGTCACCCTCCCGACCCCATTGTTAGCATCTCGTCGACAATTAGGCGCGGTAACTCCATTTGCACCATCAAAATCTTTAGCCAGCCCATACCGCGGGCTTCCAAAGCCAAATACCTAGGCGACGTCCTTGACGGATGACATTCGGTCCCCACATCAAGTCAGTGCATGGACCGAGCCCCATTCCTACTCGATTGACTCAACCTCATCATCTGCAAGCGAAGTAAGTTGTCCCTTCGTAACAACAACACATTTAAAACCCTTAATCTCTTTTAACATTAATATTTTAAACAGTAATATTAATTAAACTATGCAAAACTGAATGACAGACAGGCAAGTGAATGCGTCTAAGAAAAACCTGTTTTAAAATTAAAGAGTTTTAAATCTATCTATATATTATTATATATAAATGAATCGCTGTTCGTTAGTCTCGCTAAGACTCGGAGAACGGCTGGACCGATTTGGCTAATTTTGGTCTTGAATTATTTGTGGAAGTCCAGAGAAGGTTTAAAAGGTAAATAAAACAATTTTGTTTTTCCTTTGATGTGTCCCCCGTCGGATGGATTCCTTTTGACTGTTTTAAGTTTATTTTATACAAAAGTTTAGGTCTTTTATTTATATAACGAGGCACTACGGAGTCTGCCGGGCTAGCTAGTACTAAATAAATAATAAACATTTAAATCTATACATATAAATAAAATTGGAGTGTCTGTTTGTAATATTAAAATTATCGCTTTTTACTACATGCATATGAATCGGTACATACACCAAAATAACATTTTTACAATTTTTGTCTGTCTGTCTGTTTGTTCCGGCTAATCTCTGGAACAGCTGGGTCGGTTTTTACGAGACATTCCTGACAGGTAGCTGATGATATAAGAAGTAATTTAGGCTACTTTTTTTAGACTAGCTTCGCCCCGCGGCGTCACCAGCGTTACGACAATAACCGCGGGTAACATCGCGGCACTCAGCTATCAATAATAAAATTTAATGTTACCGAAGCGAAGCGAGGACGGGTCGCTAGTACTAAATAAAACTAAAAGTTTTTCTTTACACATATTAATGAACATATTAAATCAACATTATCCTGCCCTTCTCCCAGTCACATGGGGTCGGCGTGAATTTTTTTCTCCTTCCATACTACCATATACCATATCTTCGCTCACTTCCCTCTTACAGATATGGTCTTTCACCCAATCCATCCATTTCTTTATAGGTCTACCTCTTCCTCTATAGCCTTCCACATTCATAATTAACACTCTCTCACCAACCTCATTATAAATCAACATATTAAATAAAATCAAATAAAACAAAAAATATACTCATTGCCATTTAATTTATGTATACTTATTATTATTTATAAAACAACATATTTTTAACATAATTGGATATTCGCTTAAATACGAATAAGATTAATATTTTTTTTTAATAAAAAAGGCAAATGTTTCTGATAGTATTAATAGCAACACGATTTCAACTAAAATAAAAAGCACAGTACAAAAGTTACAATAAAGAATGTTAAACAGACTTCACAAGCACCTCCTGACTGAATTCCAAAAGCTTAGAACTCCGAACTTAAGGATAGGGGAGTTAAGTCCGTTATTTCTACCAGCCACCGCTAAACAGTCAATATTTAAGGAACGGATGCTGAGTCCGCACATATTGCGTCAGCTTAAATGTAGAAAATCTAACAAAATCTAATTTCTGACAATTGGCATAAAAGACGTTTACCCTGCCTTTGAAACATATTGTTTTAAAATTCTTAATCTTCCTCATCCGCTTTATCACTCTTCAACTCAAACGTTTCTTCATGACTGAGGAGAGCAAATCCCCTAATTTCATCTTCGACTTCCTGAAGAGTTTTGTCTTTAGTCTCCGGTAAATAAATACGAGTGACAACTAGACTATAGGCAAGAATCAAAGCATAAAAACATAACGTCCCGTCAACGCCGAACAACGAGAACAGATACGGAGCTGATTTGATGTTCACGAACATGAAAGTGGAGCTGAATATACTAGAAACCATCCAACATAAACCCCTATATTCCAAAGGAAATATTTCACCAGCAATTACAAATATCAACGGTATGGATCCAGTCCCCATAATGAAGCACTGAAAATGATGCAGAATGACACCTATTACCATATGTGAAGCAGGTAGAAGATCACGTTGTCTTGCAAAAATGTGTCCAGCTAGGCACAGATTGACGAATATATTCAAGGACACAAATATTAGCAGCATGGAACGCCGCCCTAATTTTTTTGTTATATAAACTGCTGACAGAGCCGCAGTGAGTCTTAGCACATCTAGTGACGTCATTACTTTGAACATGTAGACATTAGTTCCGTACAACGCGGTGTGGACGTCTAGAGCATACATGTCGTTAACCGTAGACCCGCAGAACTGATTTATAGCCATCAAGTGCATCGAAATAATTATTGGAATACGAACTTCTCTCTTTTTAAAAGCTGTCACGATGCATGTCGCTTTGTTCTTGATTAATGTTAATACTTTAATTCTCTGCCTTTGCTTATTTGCTTTAAGTACCATATGAGTTTTAATCATTGTTTCGAGTTCGTCATCCTCATCTGTTCCTCTCAACCAGCGGAAAACTTTCCTGCATTCATCGTAACGTCCCTTAGTTACCAGAAAGCTCGGTGATTCTGGCGAAAATATAGCTGCAATTAAACCAGGTAAAGAGAAAAAGAGTAGGATTCTAGATAATCCATGCCAACTATAAAACATTCCAAGAGCATGTGCAATTAATATACCGAATAATATAGCAGTTGGTAAAGTTGCTATAAAAGATCCCCTATGTCTGGGGCTGCTGTAATCTGCTATTAAAATAGTTCCTATAGTACCTAATCCAAAGGATATTCCATGACAAATTTTCGCCGTTAACAAGACAGGAAAGGATGAAGCTAGACTGAGCAATATCCACCCGCAAATCATAAAAACTGAACTCGCTAGAATAGCCGGTCTCCGTCCAATGGCTTCCATCACTAGTGAACTAATCACAGAGCCCCCAAAAANGCTGCTGTAATCTGCTATTAAAATAGTTCCTATAGTACCTAATCCAAAGGATATTCCATGACAAATTTTCGCCGTTAACAAGACAGGAAAGGATGAAGCTAGACTGAGCAATATCCACCCGCAAATCATAAAAACTGAACTCGCTAGAATAGCCGGTCTCCGTCCAATGGCTTCCATCACTAGTGAACTAATCACAGAGCCCCCAAAAAGCGTTAATCCGATCAAAGATGCTGAAACAATAAAAGGTGCTTTATAATAAAACTGTAATCAATCCATCCATAAATAATGCATTTGTCAATTATGGTTGAATTAATAATGAAATAAACATTTCACTAAAAGGGAGTTATGTTGTTCTTTGGTGCTATCACGATAGAGAGACTGGACTCCTACCAGGCGGGTCCTTAGGTGGTGGATTACAGGAGCCTCTGGGTGACATTCCCAGAGCTATCTCAGAGCTATATTAGATCCTAGATTAAGATTTAGATCAATGTTTAGGGTTATATTAAGGCTTATGTTAAGGATTAGGGTAGTTTATTTAGGCTTTGCAACTTTGCAACGAAAGAAGTCAGATGACGCGGACCCAGCCAGCACTGGGAGGAGAGGGAGGACCGTGCTCTTCATACTCGTCACTAAGTGAAGAATGCTACTTCTGGAGAGCACAGCTCCCGACCACACCGGTTCGCCAAAGTGTCGTGAGCAATGACACTCTGTACGCAGTTATCACGGGTGTAAGCCAGCGTTGCAATTGCTACAACTGCCGGCCGCTGGTTACCATGGCCTTATGATTCGGATACAGTGGAACGTCCCTCAGATATGGGGGGTACCGATTCACCGGCGTATCTCCTTGGTTCATCGATCAGTGGTAATTGATCAATGTCTTGGTTGCAAATTTCGAGCGTAGAGCTGTCGTCTGCCGAGTTTCCCTCTGCATTCGGTAGGCTGCCGGCCAATCCGTAACCCCCACTAAGTAGAGAACGGTTCCCGTGGCCACAAGGCACGGGGTTGCAAGGGCGCAAGCCTCTATAAAAATACCCGAGTACCAAGCTTCATTACCCGGCAAAGGCATGAATAGCTGGAGGGAGCCCAGTCCCGAGAGCTTTACACAGGGGACCTCACCCCTGGTCAAATAAGAAAATAATTTATCTAGATAATTGTGAAGAGAAAGTATCCCAGGACCAGGACCTCCATGTTGCCTGGGGCAAGGTGTGCTGTCCCTGAACATCACCAACGCTTTCAACACTTTGCTTTGTTTAGTATGATTAGATCTCCAGGCAGGACTGTCGTGTGTACCGGACACGGTTGTGCGGTACTCCAATTTCCGGTCAAGCGCGGTGTTCCACAGGGGTCGGTCCATATCAATCTCCTGTGGAATATCAAATACGATTGGGTCCTACGAAGGGCCCTTCACAGCCCTCTCCGGCCGGTGGGAAAGACTACCATAGGTCTGCCCGTCTTGCCTGCGCTGGGGTGGCATTCGTCGTTAATACGATCCAAACGTTGGGCCTTGAGGTGGCGCTTGAGAAACCCCAGGTTCTGGTGTTTCACAGAGCCGGGAGAGAGCCGCCGCCCGGGACCCGTCTGGGGATTAGAGGCGTCCACATCGAGGTCGGGGTGACCAGGTTGCGGTACCTTGGCATCGAATTGGACGGTCGTTGGAACTTCCGCGCTCACTTCGAGAAGATAGCTAATGGCAACGGCTGGCTCTTGCCAAACATCGGGGCGCCGAGGAAGGCCAGGACCATCAGTATTGAGGATTATCGACGCATGAAAAATCCTATCTTTATTTGCTTAAAAGATTATGGGTATTGTATAAGTGCTGCTCTTCACATTTTTCTTATCATATAATGTTTGTCGTCCTACCATTGTGTTATATGACTTACTTTGGTATACAATAGAACTGTAACAAGATTGACTCCGAACAAGAATGAAACGGGAATTCGTAGAAGCCTTGTCTTAATTATGTGATTCGAGAATATATTTTTTTATTGTCTTTGTAGGCAGACGAGCATACGGCCCACCTGATGGTAAGTGGTCACCGTCACTCATGGACGTCAGCAATGCCAGGGGCAAAGCCAAGCCGTTGCCTACCATTAAGTAGGCAATATAAAATATTTTAGTGAAGTATCGTAAAATAATTTGGTATTATAAAAGATTTTATTACCCAGCCAAGACTCTGAATGTATGTCCAGAGGTATCTCTCGGGTCCTCCTGAGTTCAGAGAACAGGGAAGCGTTGAATCCGGCCACAAGGCCATACGACATCATATTCAGGACGACACTCGATACCGCAAAGCACTGGACAAAACAAACAAAACGGCAAATGATTAAGCTACAGTGTGCTTAGTGCGAGTTTTTTAACGTTCTCGTTAGCGTAAAAGTTAGCCCAATTTTGTATGCAGTTGGAGCAGCGCCCCTAGCGGCAAACGCACGCAAATGATCCCATTCCATACAAATGAGTCGTCTATTATCAAAGGCGGCAATCTGTGCATTTGCACAAAAAAATGTTATTGATATGTCAATACAGATTGATTTGAATATAATCGTCTCCTTCAAAGAATACGGTTCAAAACCTGCATTAAATAAAGGATAATACTTAGCCTGTTATTTATCTAAGATGTCGTTCAGAAGAGTTTTGTAACTGCCAATGGAATACAAAGTCAATAATTCGTTTTTCTGATTTACCAATAATTGTCCAAAAGTCACATTGCCGCCTTTGATAATAGTCGACTCAAATACGAGATAACTTTTACGCTATCGAGAACGTTAAAAAGCTCGCACTAAGCTCACAGTTCATTTTAAATTGCGTTACTTTTGGTAGAGCGTATTGTAAGTTCTCATGAGTAAGTACCACTAAGTCTGATTCAGCAGCTCTGCTTTGGAGAAGGGGGCGGTCGTTGTATAGTTCAGACCTTATTTCTCAAGGTGGGTGGTGGCATTCGAATCCTGATGTCTATCAGCACGCTTTTAATACGCTTTTATTAGCTTCAGACGTATGTATGTTAGTATGTAACGGAATCTTTGAACATGATTTTGACCCCCTTCAAAACGTCGGATTAACTCGAAATTTAGTATACTTATTAAGGACCCATGACAATTCAATTTTGAGAAAAAGATTGAAAGAAAATATATTGAAAAAATTGAAATTCAACTAAAAAATGAAAAATAAATAATAGTTTAAAAAAACTAACAAAATACGCTTTTATAGAAAATTAAAGTAAAAAATTAAAAATAAATTTTAATAAATTTGAATTAAAAATAGTGTAAGAAAAAATTATTTATTGTAAAAAAAGCGTGGGGTGCATGGCAGCAGTAGTTAAAAATATTTTATGAACAGCTATGAGTAGAAGGGTTATTTTGATAATATCCTAAAAAGCAACCTAAACCTAACCTAAAATTTATTTTCTATTTTTTAGTTGGATTTTGTATAAAAGCGTATTTTGTTAGTTTTTTAAACTATTATTTATCGTTAGTTTGTTTAACCGTCTGTTTAATACAAAATAAAATTCTGAATCTACCACCGGATGGGAATCGGGTATGGCCTCAATGAAGAAGATACGACGAAAAACTCAACGGGTACAGTGCTTATTAACAGACATGGCAAGCACAAACTCTGTAGTCGTTTTCGGGAATGAAAACATTTAAAACTATTAGTAAGCCCTTTTTAAATGTTCTGTGATAGTTAAAAATATTTTTACTAGCTGACCCGCCAGACTTCGTAGTGCCTTAGTCGATAAATAAAAGACCTAACAAACTTTTATATAAAATAAACTTAAAACCAACAAAAGAAATCCGTCCGACGGGGGACACATCAAAGGGAAAACAAAATTGTTATTTTTATTTCATTCCGAGCATTTTCATATTTATCTTACCTTTTAAACCTTCTTTGGACTTCCACAAATAATTCAAGACCAAATTGGTCCAGCCGTTCTCGAGTTTTAGCGAGACTAACGAACAGCAATTCCTTTTTATATAATATATAGATAGATAGATTATTAATCTATTGCTGTATATGTCATTATTACAGACGCTCCCTGCTGGGCAAAGGTCTATCTAAGGTTCGCTGCAATCAGCACACAACGTCGACATTAACCAGCCTTATACTGCCTTCCAGAAATTATTAATAGTAATAGTTGAATACCTGCTTCACAAAAGGTGTGACCCTCATCTCGTAGCACCTACTTCCAAACTGAATAATGACGTAGAATAAAACTACGTAAGCATTGGACGTGTGCTTATGTGTTGTCCTTACGTGACTAGCACGATACACTAATCACTTTCACTCGCGCAGTATATGAACTTAACTACAATCCTTTCAGTTAAATTAAATAAAATATGATTTATGATTTAAGTTCCTAAACAATGTGAACGGAGTCGCGACATGAACGCTCTGTGATAAAAAAGACAAAAGGATAATTGTTGTTTGGCTTACTAGCTTATACTATAATGGTTCAATTTAGTCGAGAGCTTGAACAGCATCTGTTTAAATAATGCTAACATGCACCATCAGTCTTGTTNTCCGACGGGGGACACATCAAAGGGAAAACAAAATTGTTATTTTTATTTCATTCCGAGCATTTTCATATTTATCTTACCTTTTAAACCTTCTTTGGACTTCCACAAATAATTCAAGACCAAATTGGTCCAGCCGTTCTCGAGTTTTAGCGAGACTAACGAACAGCAATTCCTTTTTATATAATATATAGATAGATAGATTATTAATCTATTGCTGTATATGTCATTATTACAGACGCTCCCTGCTGGGCAAAGGTCTATCTAAGGTTCGCTGCAATCAGCACACAACGTCGACATTAACCAGCCTTATACTGCCTTCCAGAAATTATTAATAGTAATAGTTGAATACCTGCTTCACAAAAGGTGTGACCCTCATCTCGTAGCACCTACTTCCAAACTGAATAATGACGTAGAATAAAACTACGTAAGCATTGGACGTGTGCTTATGTGTTGTCCTTACGTGACTAGCACGATACACTAATCACTTTCACTCGCGCAGTATATGAACTTAACTACAATCCTTTCAGTTAAATTAAATAAAATATGATTTATGATTTAAGTTCCTAAACAATGTGAACGGAGTCGCGACATGAACGCTCTGTGATAAAAAAGACAAAAGGATAATTGTTGTTTGGCTTACTAGCTTATACTATAATGGTTCAATTTAGTCGAGAGCTTGAACAGCATCTGTTTAAATAATGCTAACATGCACCATCAGTCTTGTTTGTCCACAGGGCGAGACGTGTATTTCTAGAAGCGGCAATAGCCTAATGGGTAAGTCGACCAGTGCACTCGTCTCGAATGCCAGACGGCTCAAGTTCTAAGTACGCACGGTCTGTCGCAAAAACGCTTGGATACGATACATTATTTAATGCCATCCGCTAATAGGATTGAATACAAGTTTAGAAATATTAACTAGATGGCGCTGATAGTTTTTTTATTTTTATTCCTTAGATGGTTGGACGAGCTCTCAGCCCACCTTGTGTTAAGCGGTGACTGGAGCCTATAGCCTAAAAATTTTTTACATCGCGTGCCCTGCGACCTGCGACCTGCGAAAACTATTGACGATAGAATAAAATAATGTACTACTACTTTGTAGAACACATTGTTATTTACAAAAAGTGTCGCATATGTCTAACTATTATGGTTATGCCGCAATAAGTCTTCTTTTATTTTAAAACATGAAACAACGTCGTTGATATTTTTGTTAAAGACCCGAGCGGAGCCGGAGCGGGCCGCTAGTATAAAAAATATATTGATAATTAAAAATAAATAAATATTAGATTAAATTTTTTAACGTTTTATTATAATATATACTGTAGGTTAATTAATTAATGTATTAGCTATGTATACAATATAGTATATATGAACACAATGCGTGCCGGGTCTTTGTCTATTACGCAAGCGGCGAACGAACTGGTGGTAGGACCTCTTGTGAGTCCGCGCGGATAGGTACCACCGCCCTGCCTATTTCTGCCGTGAAGCAGCAATGTGTTTCGGTTTGAAGGGTGGGGCAGCCGTTGTAACTACATATACTGAGACCTTAGAATTTATATCTCAAGGTGGGTGGCGCATTTACGTTGTAGATGTCTATAGGCTCCAGTCACCGCTTAACACAAGGTGGGCTGTGAGCTCGTCCAACCATCTAAGGAATAAAAATAAAAAAAACTAGCAGCGCCATCTAGTTAATATTTCTAAACTTGTATTCAATCCTATTAGCGGATGGCATTAAATAATGTATCGTATCCAAGCGTTTTTGCAACAGACCGTGCGTACTTAGAACTTGAGTCGTCTGGCATTCGAGACGAGTGCACTGGTCGTCTTACCCATTAGGCTATTGCCGCTTCTAGAAATACACGTCTCGCCTACTACCGCACTATCCGGCATCAAGTCGGATGGTGCATGTTAGCATTATTTAAACAGATGCTGTTCAAGCTCTCGACTGAATTGAACCATAACAACATATGCTAGTATAAACGAAACAACAATTATCCTTTTGTCTTTTTTATCACAGAGCGTTCATGTCGCGACTCCGTTCACATTGTTTCGGAACTTATATCATAAATCATATTTTATTTAATTTAACTGAAAGGATTGTAGTTAAGTTCATATATTGCGGGAGTGAAAGTGATTAGTATATCGCGCCAGTCACGTAAGGACAACACATAAGCAAACATCCAATGCTTACGTAGTTTTATTCTACGTCAATATTCAGTTTGGTAGTACGTGCTACGAGATGGGGGTCACACCTTTTGTGAAGCAGGTATTCAACTATTGCTATTAATAATTTCTGGAAGGCAGTGTATGGCTGGATAATGTCGACGTTGTGTGCTGATTGCAGCGAACCTTAGATAGACCTTTGCCCAGCAGCGAGCGTCTGTAATAATGACATATACAGCAATAGATTAATAATCTATCTTCTATCTATCTATATATACTTATATATAAAAATGAATTGCTGTTCGTTAGTCTCGCTAAAAGTCGAGAACGACTGGACCGATTTAGCTAATTTTGGTCTTGAATTATTTGTGGAAGTCCAGAGAAGGTTTAAAAGGTAGAAAAATATGAAAATGCTCGGAATTAAATAAAAATAACAACTTTGTTTTTCATTTGATGTGTCCTCCGTCGGACGGATTCCTTTTGTTTGTTTTAAGTTTATTTTATACAAAAGTTTAGGTATTTTATTTATCGACTGAGGTACTACGAAATTTGCCGGGTCAGCTAGTAAAAAATTTTTTTAATTATCACAGAACATTTAAAAAGGGCTTTCTAATACTTTTAAATGTTTTCATTCCCGAAAACGACTACAGAGTTTTGTGCTTGCTACATCTGTTAATAAGCACTGTGCCCGTTGAGTTTCTCGTCGTATCTTCTTCACTAAGACCACCGCGATTCCGATCCGGTGGTAGATTCAGCACAGGCTAGTGAAAGCAAATTCTCTCAGGTCGAGCCCGTGAGCTCGTGGGGTGCTTTTCAGGATATTATCAAAATAACCCTTCTACTCATATCTGTTCATTAAATATTTATAACTACTGATACCATGCACCCAAAGCTTTTTTTTACAATAAATCATTGTTTTGTTACACTATTTTAAATTCAAATTTATTAAAATTTATTTTCTATTTTTAGTAGGTTTTTCTATAAAAGCGAATTTTGTTAGTTTTTTAAACTATTATATATTTTTCATTTTTTAGTTGAATTTCAATTGTTTCAATATTTTTTTTCAATATTGAATTGTCATCAGTCTTTAATAAGTATACCAAATTTCGAGTTAATCCGACGTTTTGAAGGGGGTCAAAATCATTTTTTTTTATTTTATTGCTTCGATGGGTGGACGAGGTCACAGCCCACCTGGTGTTAAATTGTTACTGGAACCCATAGACATTCACAACATAAATGCGCCACCCCTCTTGAGATACAAGTTCTAAGGTCTCATGTAAAGTTACAACGGCTGCCCCACCCTTCAAACCGAAACGCATTACTGCTTCATGGTAGAAATAGGCAGGATGGTGGTACCCACCCGCGCGGACTCACAAGAGGTCCTAGGACCTAATAGGTCCTAAGACCATTACTGGTCATGTTCAAAAATTCCGTTACATACTAACATACATACGTCTGAAGCTAATAAAAGCGTATTAAAAGCGTGCTCATAGACATCAGGATTCGAATGCCACCACCTTGAAAAATGAGGTCTCAACTATACAACGACCGCCCCATTCTCCAAAGTACAGCTGCTGAATAAGCCTTGGTGGTACTTACTCGTGAGAAGTTACAATACGCTCTACCACAAGTAACGCAATTTAAAATGAATTGTGCGCTTATTGCGAGTTTTTTAACGTTCTCGATAGCGTAAAAGTTAGCTCATATTTGTATGGGATGGGATCGTTTGCCTGCGTTTGCCGCTAGGGGCGCTGTTCCAACTGCATACAAAACTTTTTTTTTTTTCGGGCCGGGGGCCGAACCTCCTATGAGGTCCCCGCGCCTAGGGGGCGCGCGAGGTATGTGAGACTCAACGATCTGCAGGTGTTGAGAGCAGATCGCGGGCCCAAGGATTTTAGGGCCCGCCCACTAAACGACTCCCCTGCACTCTTACACCCGACGTCCGATCTCCGTCCGGAGTCAGAACCCGTTCGGAGTAGGGAGGTTCCCGCGGTCAACACTACAACCAGACACGCGACGCGCCGTCCCGTCCTCCTGGTGCCAGCGCGCTAGAGTGACGGTAGCGTGCGGCGCAGCCTCAACCCCCTTAGGTCGCCCCGTGACCATCACCGGGAGGAGACTGCCTCCTCATAGGGGCTGGAGCTGGACAAACGCCCTCCTCCGAACCCCGGCTCGACGGCGGCGGCACGGCGCCGAGAGGGAAGAAAAGCTCTCCCTCTCCCGTTCCGCCGCCTCCTTCTGCGAGACGGTGGACTCGCAGAAGTCGAGCATCGCCTGCCAGGACTCGTCGCTGCCGAGCATCGTAGCCACGACGGTCGGAAGCGAAAAGTCCGGTCCTATTTTTGCAACGAGGACGCGGCGCTGTTCCGCGAAAGCGGTGCAGTACGCGAGCGTGTGCTCCGCCGTGTCCTCGTTGCAGCCACTGCAGTGGTGGCACTTCGGCGTCGGCTCCCTCCGGGCGACGAGGTGCAGGTAGCGACCGAAACAGCCGTGTCCCGTGAGCACCTGCATCGCTCGGAAGGTGAGACGTCCTCGGTTGCGATTCACCCAGTCCGAGAGGACCGGGCGGATCGCCTCGACGACCACGCCTCGAGCACGGCACGCCGAGATTAAAGCTTCCGCGCTCGAACTTCCGCCGCGCCGGGACGCGGCTCCCCCCTGGAGCGGAGATCGCATCGCCACGCGTAATCCGCAGCGAGCGCCTCCGCTTCCAGGTCCCAGGGAGGCGTCCCAGCTAGCACGCACGCCGCCTCGAACGAGACGGTGCGGTATCCACGAACCGCCCTAACCGCAATCGCGCGCTGCGGACGTCACAAAACCGCAACGTTGTCGCGGGTCAGGGCGGGGCACCACACGGGAGCCCCGTACAGTGCCATCGACCGCACAACTGCATACAAAACTGGGTTAACTTTTACGCTAACGAGAACGTTAAAAAACTCGCACTAAGCACACTGTAGCTTAATCATTTGCCATTTTGTTTGTTTTGTCCAGTGCTTTGCGGTATCGAGTGTCGTCCTGAACATGATGTCGTATGGCCTTGTGGCCGGATTCAACGCTTCGCTGTTCTCTGAACTCAGGAGGACCCGAGAGATACCTCTGGACATACATTCAGAGTCTTGGTTGGGTAATAAAATCTTTTATAATACCAAATTATTTTACGATACTTCACTGAAATATTTTATAATGCCTACTTAATGGTAGGCAGCGGCTTGGCTTTGCCCCTGGCATTGCTGACGTCCATGAGCGACGGTGACCACTTACCATCAGGTGGGCCGTATGCTCGTCTGCCTACAAAGACAATAAAAAAAAAACTTCCCGAATCACATATTAAGACAAGGCTTCTAAAGTACGACATTCGCGTTTCATTCTTGTTCGGAGTCAGTCTTGTTACAGTTCTATTGTATACCAAATTAAGTCATATAACACAATGGTAGGACGACAAAAATTATATGATAAGAAAAATGTGAAGAGCAGCACTTATACAATACCCAATCTTTTAAGCAAATAAAGATAGGATTTTTCTTGCGTCGATAATCCTCAATACTGATGGTCCTGGCCTCCCTTAATCCTGGCCTCCCTCGACGCCCCGATGTTTGGTAAGAGCCTTCTTCTCGACGTGAGCGCGGAAGTTCCAACGCCCGTCCAATTCGAGGCCGAGGTACCGCAACCTGGTCACCCCGACCTCGATGTGGATGCCTCTAATCCCCAGACGGGTCCCGGGCGGCGGCTCTCTCCCGGCTCTGTGAACCAGAGCCTGGGGTTTCTCAACTGCCACCTCAAGGCCCAACGTTCGGATTTTATTAAACACGAATGCCACCCCAGCGCAGGCAAGACGGGCAGACTTACGGTAGTCTTACCCCCCGGCTGGAGAGGGCCGTGAAGGGCGCTTCGTAGGACCCAAGGGTATTTGATATTCCACAGGACAGTGCTAAGGAGCGACCCCTGTGGAACACCGCGCTCGACCGGAAATTGGAGTACCGCACCACTGTGTCCGGTGCACACGACCGTCCTGGCTCGAGATCTAATCCTACTAAACAAAGCAAGGTGTTGAAAGCATTGGTGATATTCAGGGACAACACACTTTGCCCCAGGAAACACGGAGGTCCTGGTCCTGGGATACTTTCTCTTCAGACTTATCTATATTAATTATTTTCTTATTTAAGCAGGGGTGAGGTCCCCTGGGATCGTGTAATGCTCTCGGGGCTGGGCTCCATCCAGCTATTTATACCTTTGCCTGGTAATGAAGTTTGGGACTCGGGTATTTTTATAGAGGTTTGCGTCCTTGCAACCCCGTGTCTTGTGGCAACGGGAACCGTTCTCTACTAGGTGGTACCCCCCATATCTGAGGGACGTTCCTCTATATCCGAATCACAAGGCCATGGGAACCAGCGGCCGGTAGTTGTAGAAATTGCAACGCCGGCTTACACCCGCGATAACTGCGTACAGGTTAACTAAACCTAGGACCTTGGTCTAAATCTTAATCTAGGACCTAATCCTAAGAATCCTTGTAATGAAAGAGATCGGATAACAGCTCTGGAAATGTCACCCAGAGGCTCCTGTAATCCACCACCTAAGGACCCGCCTGGTAGGAGTCCAGTCTCTCTATCGTGATAGCACCAAAGAACAACAGAACTCCCTTTTAGTGAAATGTTTATTTAATTATTATTTCAACCATAATTGACAAATGCATTATTTATGGATGTGATTGATTACAGTCAATATTTTATTATAAAGCACCTTTTATTGTTTCAGCATCTTTGATCGGATTAACGCTTTTTGGGGGCTCTGTGATTAGTTCACTAGTGATGGAAGCCATTGGACGGAGACCGGCTATTCTAGCGAGTTCAGTTTTTATGATTTGCGGGTGGATATTGCTCAGTCTAGCTTCATCCTTTCCTGTCTTGTTAACGGCGAAAATTTGTCATGGAGTATCCTATGGATTAGGCTCTATAGGAGGTATTCTAGTAGCAGAATACAGCAGCCCCAGACATAGGGGATCTTTTATAGCAACTTTACCAACTGCTATATTATTCGGGATATTAATAGCACATGCTCTTGGAATGTTTTATAGTTGGCATGGATTATCTAGAATCCTACTCTTTTTCTCTTTACCTGGTTTAATTGCAGCTATATTTTCGCCAGAATCACCGAGCTTTCTGGTAACTAAGGGACGTTACGATGAATGCAGGAAGGTTTTCCGCTGGTTGAGAGGTACAGACGAGGATGACGAACTCGAAACAATGATTAAAACTCATATGGTACTTAAAACAAATAAGCAAAGGCAGAGAATTAAAGTATTAACATTAATCAAGAACAAAGTGACATGCATCGTGACAGCTTTTAAAAAGAGAGAAATTCGTATTCCAATAATTATTTCGATGCACTTGATGGCTATAAATCAGTTCTGCGGGTCTGCGGTTAACGACATGTATGCTCTAGACGTCCACACCGCGTTGTACGGAACTAATGTCTACATGTTCAAAGTAATGACGTCACTAGATGTGCTAAGACTCATTGCGGCTCTGTCAGCAGTTTATATAACAAAAAAATTAGGGCGGCGTTCCATGCTGCTAATATTTGTGACCTTGAATATATTCGTCAATCTATGCCTAGCTGGACACATTTTTGCAAGACAACGTGATCTTCTACCTGCTTCACATATGGTAATAGGTGTCATTCTGCATCATTTACAGTGCTTCATTATGGGGACTGGATCTATACCGTTGTTATTTATAATTATTGGCGAAATATTTCCTTTAGAAAGTAGGGCTTTGTGTGGAATGATTTCTAGTACATTCTACTCCACTTTCATGTTCGTGAACATCAAATCAGCTCCGTATCTGTTCTCGTTGTTCGGCGTTGACGGGACGTTATGTTTTTATGCTTTGATTCTTGCCTATAGTCTAGTTGTCACTCGTATTTATTTACCGGAGACTAAAGACAAAACTCTTCAGGAAGTCGAAGATGAAATTAGGGGATTTGCTCTCCTCAGTCACGAAGAAACGTTTGAGTTGAAGAGTGATAAAGCGGATGAGGAAGATTAAGAATTTTAAAACAATGTGTTTCAGAAAGGCAGGGTAAAAGTCTTGTACCTATGCCGATTGTTAGAAATCAGGTTTTATTTGTTTTTCTATATTGAAGCTGACGCGATACGTGCGAACTCAGCTGGCTGGCTGATAAGCTGGCTATGTGTAGTTTGGTGTATCCTAAATTTTCTGTATTATCTTGATGTATTTTAATATTAAGTCTAGGGTATTAATTTGACTATAGGTATCCAGAATTAGTATATAGGGAATCTGGAATTCTCTGGTGTGATATCTCGTCCATACAGTAGGGTTTGGAGTATTTCTTCGTTTTGCGTATAGATAATCCAATGTTGGGGCTTAAGTTTTATCTTCTCTTTTAATTGTTAAAAGTAGGAGGGAAGGTTTTACGTTCTCTACGATATCATTAGGTCAGTTGTACAGAGGTCTTATAATATATAATATGTTGTAGCGTGTACGTTGTAATATGTTGTAATATAACGTGGAGAGCTAAATTCATCCATCACCCAGCATGGCTAAGTCGATCGTCTGATCTTAGGCTCTTCCGCTAAAGGTTAAAGTTAATTTGGTTGGATTATTATGGTAGAGTTTCGAGATAATACAGATAAGGACATCAATTTAAAATAGGTGTAAGATTATTTTTCAATTAGAGATACCTACTCGTATTTCTAAGAACACAGTCATTTGATTATCTATAAAATAGGCTTTTAATGTTATCGTTTGCTCTAACTTTACAAGTGTTTTAAATTAGATGTAAAAACCAAATTTCCTAATTTATTATCCTCGAGTGAACTTAGAAGTTTGCTAGATATTATACAATAATTATATGGTGTTACTAATCTACTTAATGAAAACTAGTCGTCTCTATTTAATTAAATCTAACATGAAATGCCTGAAAAAATTTGAAGATTGATTAAATTTTTGAGTATTATTTATTTGTTTTTTTTTTTATAATCTGTTATTGAGGGATCGCGATAGACCTATCTCGCCATCTCACTCGCACCCACCATACATATACTGTCTCGCGCTCGCTCCTACAGCGACCCTACATCTTTATCTGGCAAGGGGCTGGAACTATCAAAAATGTCTGGCTGATGAGGAAACATCATCTAATTATTACCTAAGTATTATATATAAAAATCAGCTTTTATACTATAACATACGTAGAATTATAATTTCATGAACATTAGGGGTGTCTGGCAAGGGGTTGCCACGATGTTAAGTGTCTGGCAATCAATAACGTGATTTTTAATAATATTCTGAAGGTAATACCAAAAAATCACACTTTGTTATTTGATGAATTTAGATCGGTATTTTACACACCTTTAGTGCCGTTTACCTGCCAAAGCCACGGTAACCCAAACTTCATAATAGTCCATCGTTCTTACCTGTGTTGGGAGCATGCGCTGACAAACTTTCAGCTTTTATAAAATAACGAAGGTCTGGGGTTCACGGGCTCTTAGACCATAATTCTTAATGGCCAATGGTCATGGTAATCCAGACTTTCAGTAACGATTTTAATTCATTTTCCAATTGGATTTTGGATTGATTTGACCTCGTTGAACTCTATAGAAAGGGTGATTTGTTAGTTTTCTAACAATTATGTTATTTATGTCCTTGTTCTATATCTATAATTTTTTATATAAGTAACATTTTTTGTAAAATTTAGTAATGTAATTCTGAGAATTGTTTGTAATAAGCTTTAAATTGATATGACACAGTAACCATTCTTGCGATATTTTATTTACCCGTTTCAGGGCCTAATTCCAAGATTTTTATTTGATTCCTGAAGTTGATTGGACTTATATGAGGTGTCCGCGCCTAAGGGAATTTTAAGGGCCAGGTTGCACCATCCTGATTACAGTCAGGAGGTGCTTGTGAAGTCTGTTTAACATTCTTTGTTGGAACTTTTGTACTGTGCTTTTTATTTTATTATTATTTATTTATTTTATTAACACTATCAGAAACCTTTGCCTTTTTTATTATTATTTCTTAAAATTAATAGATATATTTAGTATTTAAGCGAATATCCAATTATGTTAATAGTATATTGTTTTATACATAATAATAAGTATGTCGTGGATAACGACTTTTAGTTGTCGTGGATAACGACTTTTAGTAATATTAAGACGGTGGTTTTGATTATTATTTTAAATGATGAAATGTTGTTTTGATAAATATCACAAAATGAAGGGTAGACTACGTAACGCCACAGTATAAAATGGCGGTACGTGGACAGAGTCGTGGCATTCCGTGTCAGACAGTCATTCCGTNTTGTCGTGGATAACGACTTTTAGTAATATTAAGACGGTGGTTTTGATTATTATTTTAAATGATGAAATGTTGTTTTGATAAATATCACAAAATGAAGGGTAGACTCCGTAACGCCACAGTATAAAATGGCGGTACGTGGACAGAGTCGTGGCATTCCGTGTCAGACAGTCATTCCGTCCGTCTCAGTCAGTCGGTCTGTCGGTATGTTCAACGAAACTGTCGGTTTATCCTGTCATTGTGAAAGTTGTGTGTGTTGAGTTTCAATAATTGTTATTCAAAAAGTTTTATTAACTAAACTGAGTTCAATCGAATACGAGTGATGACGAAACTACCGCTCAGCCATACCTGGCGTGCTCCGACAAGTATATATCAATGAAATGGGAATGAGTATATTTTTTGTTTTATTTTATTTTATTTAATATGTTGATTAACAATAAGGTTCGTGAGAGAGTGTTAACTATGAATGTGGAAAGCTATAGAGGAAGAGGTAGACCTATGAAGAAATGGATGGATTGGGTGAAAGACAATATTATGTATAAGAGGTTAATGAGCGAAGAAATGGTATATGAGTATGGACTTATAATAGAAAACATGTTACTTCGACCCCAGGTGATTGGGAGAAGGGCAGGATAATGATGGTTTAATATGTTGATTAATATGTGTAAAGAAAAACTTTTAGTTTTATTTAGTATTTAAATTTTTAGTATTTATTTAGGATTTAAAACTCTTTAATTTTAAAACAGATTTTTCTTAGACGCATTTGCTTGCCTGTCTGTCATTCAGTTTTGCATAGTTTAATTAATATTACTGTTTAAAATATTAATGTTAAAAGAGATTAAGGGTTTTAAATGTGTTGTTGTTACGAAGGGACAATTCACTTCGCTTGCAGATGATGAGGATGAGTCAATCGAGTAGGAATGGGGCTCGGTCCACGCACTGACTTGATGTGGGGACCGAATGTCATCCGTCTGTCAAGGATATCGCCTTTAGCTTTGGAAGCCCACGGTATGGGCTGGCCAAAGATTTTGATGGTTGAAATGGAGTTACCGCGCCTAATTGTCGACGAGATGCTAACAGTGGGGTCGGGAGGGTGACCTCTTTTGCAGAGCACGGCTGTGCTTTTCATAGGGTTCGAGCATCCTTTTACGCATTTAGTTTTCCCAAAGACCTTTGCTAATTTAGGCTTCTTTCTATATCTATAATTCTAATTTTAATGACAACGACCGTTATCATTTCAAAAGGCGGTTTTACATCAGTTATTATTATAAATATTTGAACATGTGCTGTAATCAATTTCTTTATTGTTTTTATTCTTGATATTTATTGTTTGGATGCATTCGAAGCAGAACATTAAGCTGCTACCTGCAACTTTGTTCACAGTTTTCAAAGGTCACGTCTACCATTAGTATTAATTTACAATTTAAAACGTTCCAATCATGTTAGGGTTTTAAGTTAATAAATTACATTTAGACTCGGATTAGCACTGAGTTACGCAGTGCGCTAACTACCTACCTAAGGTATGAGCGTTAGGGTATTTAATAAACTATCAAAGAAATTAAGAGACCTAGACGATTTTAATTTTAAGAAAAAACCAAAAGATAATCTTATTAGTGAAAATTATTATCACTTAAATGATTTTCTTAGGGACGACATTGAAAATAAATGTTTTATAATTATTAGTTGAATTATGGATGAATGAATGGTAAATTATATACTATCATAATATCTTGCACTGCACTAATATTCGCATGTCAAATAATTACAAAGCATACACGCTGCTTTTAACTTTTTTTTTTTTTTTTATAACAACTGAGAGGCAAACGAGCAAGACGGGTCACCTGATGGTAAGTGATTAACTTATGTAATAACTCATTTTCACTATGCTTAACGAATAAATGATTTCCTCTTCTTCTTCTTTTTCTTCTCCTTCCCATCTTCTCCGAGTCTTTGGACCTTCGGTTGGGGGATCGAATGTTGCCTACACACTGTGGAGCGGAGCCAGTGATACAAATAAGCCTCTTCTTCGAAGACGGGGGCAGGACAGTTCAGCAGTGAGATTTTACCAAAACACTTCTGTGGTGTGGTGGTTTCACTGGTGGTAGGACCTCTTGTGAGTCCGCGCGGGTAGGTACCACCACCCTACCTATTTCTGCCGTGAAGCAGTAATGCGTTTCGGTTTGAAGGGGGGGCAGCCGTTGTAACTATACTGAGACCTTAGAACTTATATCTCAAGGTGGGTGGCGCATTTACGTTGTAGATGTCTATGGGCTTCAGTAACCACTTAACACCAGGTGGGCTGTGAGCTCGTCCACCCATTTAAGCAATAACAAAAAAAAGTGTCCAAAGGTTCTATGTCCGTCGAGACAGAACTTGAACATATGATTGGGCCAATCAACCATTAGTGCGTGGGTGTCCTTACCCTCCTTGAAACATAAGAATGAAGTCTTAACTGACCAACTGTCGGTAGTACTTTCATACTCTTCTAGAAATTCATCCCTTTTTAATTATCATTTTTTAATGATGTAATGAACTTGATGATGTAATAAGATTTTAAGATATATTAAGAGGCAGAGTCAAGTGGGGAAAATTTCGGATAGTGTCTGCCCCGCTAGTCAGAATAAACGTGTGGCGGGCAAAGATGTCGCGGCACAAACTACTTTAGAATATATTAAAGTGACCTGATCAAATTAAATGAGGGTAACTAGTTACGCTTCACGAGTCTCGCAATATACTTTAACCCGGTCACCGTCCTCTCCGAACCCGGCGCTCGCGACGAAGGGCTCGACGAGTAAATTAAACCATAGACACAGCCCACTGAGTTTCTCGCTGGATCTTCTCAGTGGGTTGCGTTTCCGATCCGGTGGTAGATTCTGCGAATCACTGCTCTTTCTAGGGCCAGTGTTAGCACCACTCCGGTTTGAGCCCCGTGAGCTCACCTACTAGTTAAGGTTACGCTGAAATAGCCTCTCAAGGCTATCAGGTTAGGTAGGAAAAAAAAACCATGCTACATTCGGAAAGCTGATTTTTTTGGGGGATTTTTGTTTGGGGGCTTATCAACTTGTACCGAATGGTAGGGTGCGTTGTCCATTATTATGGGCATCAGCTCTTGTAACTTATTTAATAGACCTGTGAACCAATCTTTGAATTTTTCATAGTTCATCTCCTCATGTGGAAGTAACCAAAATAAACTAAACGAGCCGTGTCCGCGTTTGTTAAATTTCTAATTTTTTTTACTGCGTATGCTGCAAAGCTGAGCTTACTCGCCAATTTATGAATATTAGGTCCCCACTGCAGTTTGGAGTCCACTGTTATACCAAGAAATACGGTTGACTCAACAAGCTCCAATGATTCCTCAGAAACAATTACATTACTATCTACTTGTCTCACATTTAAAGATGATTTAATACATTTTAGAGTAAATTTAATACATTTAGTTTTCTTAGTATACAATAATAGATTATTGATACGGAACCAATGAACCACACACGAAATCGCATCATTCATTTCGTCATAGACTTGCAATTGTCGTTAAATTTTAAATAATAAAGATGTATCATCTGCGAATAATACGACCTCATGTCGGGACTCAATAAAACTAGGTAAATCGTTTATATACCTAGGCAGGTCATAAGTATTGTCACACAGTAAAAACTTTTCTTTTAGAATGCTGGCCACAAAAAAGTTTATTGAATTCCAATTTCGAATTGTTCATGAAAATAAAAATGTTTACTTTTAGAATTTTACTCATTTTTAAATATGGAGTGGACGCTTAAAGAAGACCGTGTTGCAGTTATTGCGTTGCATCGTTGCAGTTACGCGCCAATTCAAATTTTTAACATACTGAAAAATTTGAATATAACCAAAAGATTCGTTTATCGTACCATCAAACGATACAATGAAGACTCTAGTGTAGATGACAGGTCAAGAAGTGGTCGCCCTCGGTCTGTTAGGACTCCAGCAGTGATAAAAGCTGTGAAGGCGCGAATTCAAAGAAATCCCAAACGTAAGCAGAAACTGTTGGCCCTTCAGATGGGGTTAAGCAGAACCACGGTGAAAAGGGTGTTAAATGAAGACTTAGGGCTTCGGGCATATCGAAGAAAAACAGGACATCGTTTGAATGCTCGTCTAATGGACCTGAGACTGAAGAGATGCCGCGCTTTGTTGAAGCGGTACGCGGGAAAAAAATATCGG